TCAGTTTGCCACTAGGGGACGTGGGGTCAACGAGTGTGGGCTTTTTTTTTTTTCCTGCTTTATTGTAATATATGCACTTCCAAGTTTGCGTAGAAACGTTCCTTTTCCAGTTGGAGAAAATTTATAAGAAAAAAAAGAAAATGTTTGGGAGCATCATCATATTCCTTGGAAATTGGAAAAGAGCCCTGTGACCGGGGGAAAGAGAGCACGTCCGCAGACGGCAAGGCTTGCACGCGGGCCCGCGGCCAGGGAGACAGAAAAGGCGCCTCGAGGATCATTTCTCTCTTCTTGTTCACGCGGGGAGGCCTCCAGCCACAGTTTGCTCCTAGGAGAAGCACCAAAGCCATCTTGACGGGGGAACAAAAATGAAAAGGCCTCGGGGCCCCCTGGCCAGAGCCACTGCCTTCCTCTGCGGCGCCGGCACCCGCGGCCCGGCCAGCCTCCCGCGGGTTCTGACGCCGCGGCCCGGACCTGGGGGTGGTGTCGGGCTCCCGAGGCGAAGGCAGCGGGCAGCCAACCTGGATGTCGCTAAGAGGCCCTCATGGTGGGTGGCTCCCGGCTCCCGCCTCCGCCTCCTCACCGTTACCTCTGGCCTTTTCTCCAAGCCACCCGGTCTCCGGCCTGGGTGGAGGGACCCGAGGACCGCGGCCGGCAGCTGCCGCAGTTGGCCGCTCGGGGCGAGGACCCGCTCTTCCCCGAGCGCGCCCAGGCCGGGACCCGCAGGGTCATGGTCGGGCACAGCCACGTCCCCCGGGCCTCACGGGGTAGTGCTCGCCACGCGCACGCTGGGCTCCCTGAGCCCCTGAGGCTGAGACGTGCGTGATCATGGCTGTGCCCGTGCGGGACGGAGACGTGCCGGTGGACACAACGGCTTCCAACGAGGGCCCGGCACACAAACGGGGGGGGGGGGGCTCCCCTGGGAGGAAGACGGGGGGGGGGGAGCCGGCAGCAGGTGAGCCAGCCGGGGTTGTGTCTCCCACGCGTGGGGATGGATGGCGCAGCGGGGGAGCCGGGGCGACTGGCGGCGCCGCAGCGAGGGGACTGAGCAGTCCGCCGTTCCCTCTGCACTGAGGCTCGGAGCTTGGCGCGAAAGCAGTGCCCCAGGTTGCCCTCCGCGCCATGAAGACCGTGGCAGGACCCCAGAGAGGTCGCCTCCCTGGGGGATCATTAGGTCTTTTTTTTTTATTTTTTTTAATTTTTATTTATTTATGATAGTCACAGAGAGAGAGAGAGAGGCAGAGACACAGGCAGAGGGAGAAGCAGGCTCCATGCACCGGGAGCCCGACGTGGGATTCGATCCCGGGTCTCCAGGATCGCGCCCTGGGCCAAAGGCAGGCGCCAAACCGCTGCGCCACCCAGGGATCCCTGGATCATTAGGTCTTAACCCTGGCAGCCCCCCACCCCCTCGTCCCTAAGCAGCCCCGGCCTCACCTGCATGTGTGACTGTTGGGAGTAAGAGACGCGGCTTCCCGGAGGAGCGGGGCGCGGGGCGTGGGGCAGGATGGCCGCCTTGTGCGCATCGGCCGGAGGCCACCGTCGTTTCCCGGGATCCTCGGAGCCCCGCGCGGATGGTCCGCGCGGCAGGTGTGCAGAGGCCCCGGCGGGAGGTGTCAGCGGTCGTGTCTGCAGAGCCTGCAGGCCAGAGGAGGGGCGCCCGGACCCGCTGCACAGCCTGGGGAGCTGCGTGGACCCCCTGGGGATGTGCCATGGCCCGGCGCAGGCTCCCGTGAGGGCCCTGAGCCCCCTGAGACCCCAAAAGTGCTGGCAGCCTGTGCTCCCTGGCAGCCTCCTGTGCTGCCCCAGCCTGCAGGCCTGCGAGCACCTGCGGGAGCCTAGAGGCAGGGGCCAGGCCGCGGAGAACGGCGGCCCGAGGGCCAGGATCCTGGGGCACCCGGGGCAGGCAGGGCCCCATTGAGGTGCAGCCTGACGGCAGCGGGGACAGGGCGGCGGAGGGCAGTCGTCCCGGTGGCCGTGTGTCCATCCGTGGGTCCGTCCATGTGTCTGTGCGCATGCACTGAGCACCACTTGATGCTGGCGGGTGGCAGGTGGGCTGGGCACAGGTGACGGGGACACCGCGAGGAGGGGGCAGGTGTGGGGGGGCAGGCACCCAACAGGGGTCAGGCCTTGGCGAGAACTTGGCCGGTGGGGCCCGGGTGGCTCAGAGGATGAGCGGCCGCCGCGGGTTTGGTCTCCGGGGCTGACCCCACGGGGCTGCGGGCCTGGGCGGGGCTGGGGGGCTGTGGGGCTCAGGGGCTGCGGGGTGGGTCCTGCTGAGGCCTTTGCCTCCGCCCCCCCACCCCCACCCCCCACCCCCCACCCGCGCAGGCGCTCTCTCGCCCTCCTGGCCTCCTCCTGAAATAAGTTGCTCTTTCAAAAGCAGGTAGGGGTTAATCCACGGTCTCCTGGTTCCACCGTTGCAGTGTTGGGGGGCACAGCCTGGAATGCGCAGGAACCCAGGTGGGGTGGGATCCTGTCCCCCGAGCCACCTGTCCCCCAGCCACCTGTCCCCCAGCCACCTGTCCCGAGCCACCTGTCCCCCAGCCACCTGTCCCCAGCCACATGTCCCCCCAGCCACCTGTCCCGAGCCACCTGTCCCCCAGCCACCTGTCCCCAGCCACATGTCCCCAGCCACCTGTCCCCCCGCCACCTGTCCCCGAGCCACCTGTCCCCCAGCCACCTGTCCCCAGCCACATGTCCCCCCAGCCACCTGTCCGGAGCCACCTGTCCCCCAGCCACCTGTCCCCAGCCACATGTCCCCAGCCACCTGTCCCCCGCCACCTGTCCCCGAGCCACCTGTCCCCCAGCCACCTGTCCCCAGCCACATGTCCCTGAGCCACCTGTCCCCGAGCCACCTGTCCCCAGCCACATGTCCCTCCAGCCACCTGTCCCGAGCCACCTGTCCCCCAGCCACTTGTCCCCAGCCACCTGTCCCCCCGCCACCTGTCCCCCCCAGCCACCTGTCCCGAGCCACCTGTCCCCCAGCCACTTGTCCCCGAGCCACCTGTCCCCCAGCCACTTGTCCCCAGCCACCTGTCCCCGATCCACCTGTCCCCCAGCCACCTGTCCCCAGCCACCTGTCCCCGAGCCACCTGTCCCCCAGCCACCTGTCCCCAGCCACATGTCCCCCCAGCCACCTGTCCCGAGCCACCTGTCCCCCAGCCACCTGTCCCCGAGCCACCTGTCCCCGATCCACCTGTCCCCCAGCCACCTGTTCCCTGAGCCACCTGTCCCCCGAGCCGAACAGGCGCCTCGACCACCATGCGTGGATGGGGGGGAGCATGTGCGCCAGGCCAGGACCCCTAACAGAAGGACAAGGGCCCGACTGCAACCCGCAGACCCCGGCCAGGAGGGCAGGTGCCAGGGCCGTGGGGTAACGTGCCCAAGAGCAGCGTCTGCCGTCCCTGGAGGCCTCGGGCAGCGCGTCCCGTGCACCTCGGTGATGGCGCGCCCTGCTGCTCTGGCCTGAGCATCGCCGCATCAACACGGAGCGAAGCCTGTGCCGCTGAGACGACACCGTGTTGGGGCCCCCTCCCGGGCTTAGGGGACCACAAAGCCCTGCACGATGAGCCGGGCCCTGCAGCCCTTTTGTCTCCCTCATTCTTCGAGGTGAAGGTCACAGACCAGCGTCCAGAGGGGCCTCCCGGGAAGAAAAAGGGAGAAGGTGGCTGCCGTGGCCACGCTGGGGGAAACACAGAGGTCGGCCTCCGTGTGCGACGTGGGGCACAAGTCCCTGTGGGAAGGAGGCCCCCCGAGGCCGCAGTGACCCCACGTTCTGTACAGTAGTCAAGTCAGCAGGACGGAGGGACCCGTGCGGGGGCCGCGAGCAAGTATCTTCTGTTGAAAAGAATCGGGGCTGGGGGGGGGGGAACCACCTGCATCAGGAAACGACCATCCCCTCCTCGGCCAACCCGGTCCCAGGGACTCACCCCGGCGGCCCCAGGGATGGGGGTCCAGGAGGCAGCGGGAGCGAGAGCTGCACGCAGGGAGCAGCCTGGGCCTCCACGCACACGCACACGCACACGGGAGAGCGAAGGAGCCTGTGATACCCGTGATCGTGATGCCGTGCCCTCTGCGGGGCCGTGCCCTCCATGTGGGGCCGTGCTCTCTATGGGGGGGTCATGCCCTCTATGTGGGGCTGTGCCCTCTGCGGGGCCGTGCCCTCCATGTGGGGCCGTGCTCTCTTTGGGACCGTGCCCTCTATGGGGGGCTGTGCTCTCTTTGGGGCTGTGCGCTCTATGGGGGGCCGTGCTCTCTTTGGGGCTGTGTGCTCTATGGGGGGCCGTGCTCTCTTTGGGGCCGTGCCCTCTATGGGGGGCCGTGCTCTCTATGGGGCCGTGCCCTCCATGTGGAGCCGTGCTCTCTTTGGGGCTGTGCGCTCTATGGGGGGCCGTGCTCTCTTTGGGGCCGTGCCCTCTATGGGGGGCTGTGCTCTCTTTGGGGCCGTGCCCTCTATGGGGGGCTGTGCTCTATATGGGGCCGTGCCCTCCATGTGGGGCCGTGCTCTCTTTGGGGCTGTGCCCTCTATGGGGGGCCGTGCTCTCTTTGGGGCCGTGCCCTCTATGGGGGGCTGTGCTCTCTACGGGGCCGTGCCCTCTCCGGGGGCGTCTTGCCCGCAGCTCCAGCCCCGTCCTGCCCCCACGGATCCTCCAGGGGGAGCAGGCCGGGCGTCGCTGGAACGGGCTGGCTTCTCAGGCCCTGCCTTCGCAGAGGTGGCCCAGCCCCGCTGCAGCACGAGCCCTGCTTGCCCCCCGCCTCCGTACATGCTCAGGGCTAACGGAATTCGATGAAGACGGTGGCACAGCAAAGCGCAGCCCGTGCGTGTCTCCTGCTGGGTTAGCGTGTTTTCCACTCGTCATCAAACTCCAAATACGTGCACTTAGTTCAGAAACAGCCCGGATTCCTGTGGGCTGCCAGAGCGCCCTGGGGACCTAACTCACTGGCCACCCTGTCGCCGGCGTCTGACACAGTGACGACGGAGCGCCTTTTCCTTTCTTCCCCAGCTGCCACTCCGGGTACGTCGGGGCGCGCTGTGAGCACGCCGACCTCCTGGCCGTGGTGGCCGCCAGCCAGAAGAAGCAGGCCATCACCGCCCTGGTGGTGGTCTCCATCGTGGCCCTGGCCGTCCTCATCATCGCGTGTGTGCTGATACAGTAAGTAGGTGCTGCCCCCGATGGCGGGCCCCGCGGGCATCTGCGGGCACCCAGCTCACGGCCGCCTGCCCGAGTGGAGGAAGGGCCCATCCCGGGAGGGTCCCCACTGCGGTCGCCGGACGCCGGTGCACAGCAGGTGCATGCAGTGTCCCCAGGGCTGGGCTTGCAGGCCTCACGGTGACGTGCTGGGGGACTGGGAGGGCTCCAGCCTCCTCCGCGCCAGGGCTCTCTGCGGGTCCCACGGCCGCGGCGAAGGTCGGGATTGCCGTGTGGACAGGTCCCCGATGGCCCTTCCCTCTGTGCTCGCCTCCCCGCCGCCCCTCACCCTGCATCCCCGGGGCCTCCTGCGCCTCCACCAAGGGAGGCCCCTGCCCTGCGCCCTGGCCCGGCTCTCTGCAGAGGGGGACACCCCATGCTGTGGTGGCAGCGTGGGCCGCGGGCCTCCCCGGAAGTGCCCACACACGCCCGTCACGGAGCAGGCCCTGGGCGTCATCGGCTCGGGTGCCGCACCTCCGTAGCACCGGGGCCGGGGAGGGGCTGCGTGGTGACGAAGGGGCAGACGGAGGCCCCGAGGGGCCGGGACAGACGGTCGTGAGGCCCTGGCCTACGTTAGTTAGTGGCTGTTGGGGCGACACATGCGCCTCTGGGGCCACAGTGAGCGAGTGCTGTTGACGGAGGCCTCGGCCCAGGCGGGCCTCGGGGGCAGGGGTGAGGCTGCCCTCCCCGCCCCTTGCCCTTCGCTGTGTGTCCTGCCTGCGTGCTGGGAAGGGCAGCGGTCGGGCCTGCGCCCCACGAGGGTGCCCCCCAGGGCCGCCCACCTGCGCCCGCCGTCGCTCCCAGGCACCTGCCTGGCCCGGAGTCCCAGAGCCTCGGGGACAAGCTGGGGGCCCCTGGGAGCTTGTCCCGGGGGATCTAGAAGCAGGTTTTCCCAGGGTCTCTGCGGACGGGAACGAGGCGGGAAGGCAGGGCGGCCTCTCTCCCAGGGAGGCAGCGGGTCCTCGTCCCTCTGCCCCTCCCCGGTCCACCCTTGCTCGAGGCCGAGGCCGGGAGCCCCCACCCCACCCGGCTGCCGGGGCTGCAGCCTGCGGCCTCCTGACTCATGGTTGGTCGCGACCAGCTTGTGTGGAGGCCTCGCCTCACCGCCTGGGTGACCCTTGCTAGGACGTGGCTGGACCCAGCCCCCCGCCAGCTGCCCGCGGAAGGGATCCCTGGACCCCCCGGGCCTCGGCCTCGCGACTCAGGAGGGCGCCGTGCCACACAGACGGCGCTGGCCGCCCAGGACGGAGGGTCTCAGGCTCTCGCTCCGCTGCCCCGAGATGCAGGGCCCGGGACCATGAGACGCCAGCGGGCCCCGGGAGGGCAGCCCAGCGACGGACCCACTTCCTCGCTGGCTCCTGGGCCCCGTCCAGCAGGAAGCCCTGCCCGGTTCCCGCGAGGTGGGCGGAGCCCGGGGCCCGCGGGGACAGCTCCAGGGGTCTCCACGTCAGCTGCGTCCCACGCGGCGCTTGCTTCTCTGCCCGCCAGCCCGCGTGCTGCTCCGCCGCGGCACGAACGGCCTGCACCCAGCTGGAAGGCTGCACGCTGGGCTGCTCGCCTGCCCGGAGCCCCCGCGGGAAGGCCGGGCACACGCCACGGTGCCCCCGTGCCCGAGCCCCGCGCAGCCGCGTCCTCTGCCCTCTGCCCACAGCTGCTGCCAGGTCCGGAAGCACTGTGAGTGGTGCCAGGCCCTCCTGTGCCGGCACGAGAAGCCCAGCGCCCTGCTGAAGGGAAGGGCCGCCTGCTGCCACTCGGAGACAGGTAAGGGGGGTAAGGGGCCGCGCCAGGGGCACAGTGGGCGCAGGAGCAGAGGTCGGTCCTCGGCCTCCACCACCGGGGCCACAGCTCCTGACACTGTGCCCCTGGAGCCACGGGCCGGGCCGGCGGGGGCAGGGGGGGGCACGGCCATGCTGGGGGCCTGGTGCCCTGGAGGACGGTGGCCAGCCGTCCTCTCCCCCTCCCTCCCCTCACCTCCCCAGGGCAGGGGCCGGGCAGGGGCGGCTTGTTCAATCTCCAGGAGCCTCTTGAGGATGCTAATGGGTTACCCCTTATGGCCTTGGGAGGGTTTGTGAATGACACAGGTAAACTGAGTCAGCCAAAGGTGTGCTTGGGTCTGACCGTGAGCCACAGGGGCCTCTGCGGGCCCCACTCCCCGTCTCCCCCACGGCCTCGGAGGACCATCCATAGAGCTGGCGAGGCTTCGTATTGTCGTCAGGCACCAGGAGGAACGTTGCTTGAGCCTTTTAAGAGGACTTGCAGATGCTGCGCCATCTGTGTGCACCTCGGGGCAGACATAACGGGAGGAAGTTTCCGGGCCCGGGGAGTCAGCAGTGGGGCATCTGCCTTCAGCTCAGGGCATGACCCCGGGGTCCCGGGATCGAGTCCCGCATCGGGCTCCCTGCATGGAGCCTGCTTCTCCCTCTGCCTGGGTCTCTGCCTCTCTCTGTCTCAGGAATAAATGGATAAAATCCCCCCAAAAAATGGGTTCTTACCAATGCTCCTCTCTGCCCACGTCTGGGAGGACATGGGCCCTGAGCCTCGGAAGGGTCTGGCCTCCCAGAGACGCCCCGGCCGAAGCTCCCCGGGACGCCCTCCTCCCCACTCGGGAGGGACAGGGAGGGACCAGGGCAGGGAGACGTTGGGGAGCTCGCCTCCAGAGCCCCCCGTTGGGAGACACTAGGGGGCCCGAGGAGAAGCCGCCCTCCCCCACGGGCTGGCCACCGTCCTCCAGGGCACCGGGCCCCCAGCGCGGCCGTGCCCCCCGCCCCCCTGCCCCTGCTGGCCCGGCCCGTGGCTCCAGGGGCACAGTGTCAGGAGCCACGGCCCCGGTGGTGGAGGCCGAGGACCGAGGTGAGGCCCGAGAGCCTGTGAACCGCCCAGGACTCACCGTGTGTCCTTCCTTGCAGCCGTCTGAGGAGCCGGGGCGTCTGGCCGGGTCACCGTGGCAGCCGAGGGGAGCGGCTTCTCCGGGACCAGCCGACAGACCTCACCACCCTGCCAGCCCCCCCGCGCAGCCTGTCTTCCGCGGGCCCCCGCTACTGTCGGGAGCTCTGAGCTTGGGGGCGTCGGGTGGGACCCAGACGAGACATCGGGGGGCCACGGCGATAGGACGGGTCCCAGCACAACCGGACGGGTGACCCGGCTGCGCCGTGTGCCCGGGCTGCAGGTGTCCTGCGGGTCACGGAGGCCTCCCCGTCCCTCGGCGGCGTGTTCCCGCCAGCCCCGGAGGGTGCCGGCCGGCCCCGAGGGCTTCCCCGCACCTGCCTCCGGGAGGAGAAGACGGGAAGGGGGCTGCTTGTCCCGTGACGACGGCAGGTGCAAGAGGAGCCCCCGCACCCCGGCGCCGAGGCCCCCCAGGCTGCCGCAGCCTGGAGACGACCCCTGGACCGTGGGGTCGGCGCGGGTCTCCCAAGTCGGCGTAAAGAGCCCCAACCCTTCTAGAAGCCCGCGTGCGCACCGCGGTGGCGCCCGTAGAGTTGGGGGCCGCTCGGGGCAGCTGAGGCTCCGGGACGGGCCCCGGGCGCGTGGTGGCGAGCGCAGGCCGGGCCGGGTGCACAGCGGGTCAGTGCCCCCAGGCAGCCCCACGGCTCACCGGTCCCCGCAGCCCAGCCAGGAGGCACCGGGAGAGCCCGGGGACGCGGTCGTACCATGAAGGGGGCCGTCCTCCCCCGCGTCGTGCCCCGTCGACCTGTCGTTTTATTTTTAAAAGGAAAAATTTAACTTTTCTATTTATTTTCCAGCATTAGGAGCAACATCCCCTCGGTTTGTTTGGGTTTTTTTGTTTTTGGTTTTTGTTTTGCCCTTTCCATTCAGGATGCTGGTTTTATTAACAAAAACTCTAACAAGTCACCTCCCCAAGGGGCGGGTCTCACTCCCCCCGCCCCAGAAGGCAAAACTGTCCTGGGGGCGTCGTGACCCGCGGGCCTGCCTGGGAAGCCCACCGGTTCCCTGCAGCCGAGCAGCGGGATTTTCACTGAAATCGGTCATTTTCACTGAAATCGGCAAACAGCGGCAGTGAGGCAACGCGGGAGGCCCTTGTGCGGCGGGACTCGACTCCCTGGTGTCTGGAGCGGATGGTCTCCGTGTACAGGCGCGCCTGGCTCCCCACATCCTGAAAGGGACCTTTAAAATGTCAGGTTGGCTTAAATCTTCCATCGGGCGACCGTCCTCCGCGGACTCTCGTCCCCGGTCGGTCCGTTCCGCTGGACCATCCCCAGGTCCTCCAGCCGAGGCGGGAGCGCCGGAGCTGCCCTAGGGCAGCAAGCGGCCGCCGGCGACCTTGGCGGGGATGGGTGGGGGCTGCGGCCGCTGTGTGGACCCCCCCACGGCCCCCCCACAGCCCCCCATGGCCCCCAGCCCTGTCCTCGGCCGATCGAGTCCGACGGGAGAGCCCCGGACCCGACTCTCCTCAGTCTTTCCCAGAGCAGTTGAGGCCGCGGGGCTCTGCTGACCCACTTGGCCGGACCCCGACTCAGGCTTGGGGCGTCCAGTCCTCGCAGAGGCTGGGGAGGGGAGGACGGGAGCCTCTGGCTTCCCCGCGGGCCGTCGCCTTGAGTGGCTGCGCCTCGGTCCTGGGGCTGTGCCGTGGGCCAGGCCGTGGGCAGGGGGGGGCCCGCCGTGGCTCCCGGGGCGCTGCCCTGAGACCGGCAGGTGCAGGACGGTCCGCAGCAGAGGCCGGGTGAGGGCGGGCGGGGCTGAGCGCCCCAGAAGCCCTGTGCACCCCGGAAAGTGCAGGAGTCCGTGCCCTGCGGGGAGCCGGTGCTCCGGCGGCAGCTGGATGGGTGCCCCCTTCCGGGGGGCGTCTTGGGACTGCGCCAACGGCTCCTGCATCTGCACCACCTGAAGCCCGGGGTTCTGATCAGGGCTCCCTTCCGGGGTGACCCAGCCACGGGGCGGGAGCGGGGCTGCTCCCTGCATCTATCTCGGGAAGAGAAAAGGGGAGAGGGTGCTTGGGACTCTCCCGTGGGGCCTGGCCTGGCCCCGCAGGACCCGCGGGCCTCCGGGTGAAGGGCACACGGCCGCCAGCCCTGGCCCCCGCAGGAGGGAGGGATCGAGAGGCGCCGGGAGCCGGGCAGGTGCGGTCCCTGGGGACCAGTGCCCTCCGGGGCGGGGGAGCGCTGGCATCTCCCGGGGCTCCCGGCCGGGTTGTCTCCAGAACCTGGGCCACCAGCCACCCCCCCCACAGCCCCGGGCAGTTCTGGCAGAAACGGACCGACAAGCTCCCCGCACAGCTCCCCACCCCCCTGCCCTGTGGCTCGGGCCGGGTCCTGAGCCCCTGCACCCGCTCAGCGGGGGACACGCAGGCCGCGGCGGGTGCCCCGGGCACGGGCGGACACAGACCTTTGGCCTTAACGCGGGGCCCAAGAGCCGCCCCAGCCGCGGTCCGCGGGGCTTCCCGAGGGATCTCGTGGGGGACACACGCGGTCGGAGAAGCAGCGCCTCCCCCCACAGCGACCTCCCGAAGCATTCGGCTTTTCAGTACCTTTATCATAACAAACCTGATGCTTTTTTTTTTTTTAGAACGTGTTACTCTGACTTCTGTATATGTTGCACTGAGAAGGTTAATATTTAATGTTTTAATTTATTTTGTGTGATAAGTTAATTTTGATTTCTGTAATGCGTTAATGTGATCAGCAGTTCTTTTCCTTAATATCTGAATTACACCTATTTAAAGACTGGTGAGCAGTACAAAACGCCGTGTGTTTCTCAGTCCTGCGCGTTGTGCTCCGGTTGTCCTGCGCCTTGTTGGGAAGGGTGAAGCCATGAACCCCGCCCCCCCCCCCCAAATCAAGGCTGGAGCTTTTCTCCCTGAGGTTGGCATGCCGCTGCAAAGCAAATTACAGCTTTTCTCCACAAATGTGGATGATGAGAAAAAATTAGATGCTCTTTTGCAAAGTGCGGGAATCCTAGAATTAATGAGGGAGGCTCCCCGTCTGAAGAGACCGAGTCCTGCGAGGTCCCGGCTGTGCAGGTCCTTGTCCACACGTCTGACACTAAGTCGGCCGATGCAGAGGGAAATACAAGCACACAGTCCCTGCCCCCAGAGGAACCACCGCCTGGCTGAGACGCTGACGCAGAAGGTGGTCCTGGATCAGGTGCAGACCACACGCAAAAGGGCCTCAAGTTGTAAGGCAGAGAGCAGCGGGGCTCCAGGCGACCCCAGGCAGCCCCAGGCGACCCCAGGCAGCCCCAGGCAGCCCCAGGCAACCCCAGGCCCCAGACAACCCCAGGCAGCCCCAGGCAACCCCAGGCCCCAGACAACCCCAGGCAGCCCCAGGCAACCCCAGGCCCCAGACAACCCCAGGCAGCCCCAGGCAACCCCAGGCCCCAGACAACCCCAGGCAGCCCCAGGCAACCCCAGGCAGCCCCAGGCCCCAGGCGACCCCAGGCGACCCCAGGCAGCCCCAGGCCCTAAGTGATCGCAGGTGACCCTAGGCCTCAGGCGACCCCAGGTGATCCCCAGGCCCCAGGAGACCGCAGGTGACCCCAGGCCTGCTGCAGCCACACGGCCCTGGGGGGCCTGTCAGGAAGGCACATTTTCAGCCCCACCCCAGACCTACTTTTAAACTGCAGAGGCCCTGGAGCCCCTTCTAGGTGCTTCTGATGGGTGCTCAGGTTTGAGAACCCCGGTGCTGCAGGGCTCGGCGGCAGGCAGGCGAGTGTGGGGCCTCGTCCTTAGGAGAAGCTTCCCCGAGGCCTGGCGGAGGAGGGAACCCCGGCGTGTGTCCCAACACAGGCCGCGGGGGTTCGGGGCTCAGAACTCACAGCCTTGACCTCAGGCCTGCATTTGCTTGGAGTTTCTCTGCCTGGGGCCACTGATGGGGGAGCAGGCCTGCCTGCCCCCAGGGCCCCTTCCCTCGCCGCAGGGCCGTCCTACGGCTGCCCACCCGGGTCCCCCAGGCCCGCTGCCCCCACACCTGCACCCCGCACCTGCGACCCCTGCGTGCACCCCACACCTGCACCCCGCAGGGGCTTGTGCGGCAGCGGCCGGGAGCGGGTGGCAGTGGAGGGGCACGGGACCTTGTCCCAAGGGATGCTCGGCTTCATGAGGGAGGGCAAGCCTGGAGCACCTGCTGTCCACCCCTCCCCCGGAGGTGAAGCGAGGCAGCCCCTGTCCCCAGCGTGCCAGCCTGGTGGCTGCCCCTCAGCAGAGCCCTCAGCCCCTCCTGGGACCCGAAGGGCGGCCGCGCCTGCACCTGGTGCTCCCTCTGCCCCTGGGCCCTGTTCTGTCCCGGGGACCGGGGGCCGCTCCGCCTCCTCTCTACCCCGTGGGAGCCTCTCCCAGTGCCGCTCCTCCCGCCTCCCTGATCCCAAGCCGAGGCGGTCCCGGGGTTCATGGGGCCCTGGGCTGTCGGGATCCCGGTCCCGGTGGGGCCCTGGGCTGTCCCCTCCTGCAGTGAAGCAAAGCAGTCGTCCCCCTTCATCCCGGGGACCAGCCATTCCCTGCGAGGACCGGGGTCCCCACTGTCGGCCTAGTCTTGGTGGCCGTTGGCCCAGCCCGCCGTCGCCCCCCTCAGCGCGGCCCTGCCTCCTGCCTGCCCGGCAGCCCCGGAGCTCCGGTCCGCGCCCCCTCCCCGCCTTCTGGAAGCCCCCTCCCCCTCTGCTCTCTGGGGACTTGCTGAGGTCTCTGTGCAGCCGAGCGGGATGTGCTCGCCACCTGGGCCTGGCGGTGCCGTCGCCACTGAGCTAGTGACCCCCCATCAGCCCAGCTGCGGACCTGCCGGGTGCACATGTTTACAGTCCCCCCGATTCTCATCCAGGCCCTGCTGCCGTCCACACCCCACACCCCGCAAGCAGGTGGCCCAGGAGAGGCTTGGTGTCTGCAGCCCAGGCGCCTGGTACCCCCCCAGAGCCGCCCCTCCCCATCCGGGCTCAGGGATCCCCCGTGTCCAGAGGCTGGTGCCCTGGGGAGGCTCGGAGGCGGGGCCTCCTTCGGGGTGGGGTTCCCTAGGGCAGAGAAGGGGCAGGAACCTCGGGGGAACGGGCCCGTGGGGAGCACCCTGTGACCAGCACTGAGGTCGTGCACGAGTGGGCGATGGCTCTTCGGGAGGCAGATTTTATAACCGGGGGTAAAACCGCGGCAACGTTTATGCCCAAAGCGAGCAGGAGAGAGAAAAAGCAGACACGCCCGTGTCCCTTTACTCCAGCGGGAGCTTCGGCCGCGGCGCAGCGCCCTGCGTGTTCCCGAAGGGGATCCTAGGTCTGCAGGGAAGCCCGCACCGGAGTGCGGGGGTCGGCGGAGGGAGCCTGCACCAGGGCGTGGGGTTCCCCACAGACACGGGCTCCCACGGACATGGGCTCACCTCTCCCAACTGTCCTACCGGCCCTGGGCCCCCAAGAATGCCCAGCCACAGGCACAGCAGTTGGCGCCTTGGGAGCAGAGCCACCAGGGGGACCGAGGGGGACCGAGGGGGGTGCTGGTGGGACCGAGGGGACAGAGGGGGGACAGCAAAGGCCGAGGGGGGCCACAGCACAGGGCAGCCTGCTGAGGACCTGCTGGCTCCCCGGGCTCGTCCATGCGGCTCAGGGGCCAGCTTCTCCCTTCCTTCTGAGAGAAGCGGGACGCGTGGACTTTCCGCGGAGGGTCCCCTGCGTGACCGCGGCGCACGTGTGAGCAGGTCAGGCCCTCTGGCCGCCTGGCTGTGGGAGCACGGCCGTTCCTTGCAGAACACGGGGCTGGCGCCTCTGTCTGCGGAGCCGTCCGGGAGCCTCCCCATGGCCGCGCACACCCCTGTGGGTCAGGCGCCCCCAGGGTGGGGACCTCTGTCCCGCGTGCAGCCCGGAGCCCGAGGGCAGACGGCCACACGTCGGGTGTAACCGGAACACCAGCTCCGTTGGCAGAGCGCGTGGTCGCCTGGGGCCGAGGAGCCGCGGCCTGGGGCCAGTGGGCCCTGCAGGTGACCGGATGGCGGCACTCGACGTGGGCCGCACAGTCGGGCCCCACAGGTCCGTGGGCCGTCGTGACCCCCTGCTTCCTGGTCTGGCGGAGAAGTGGGGCTTCCAGGCTAATATGCACCCCACGTCCCAAGCTGCGGCCGACGGAGACCGTGCCCAGCCCGGGTGCGTGCGACAAGGACACCTGCCCCCCTTCCCCCCGCGCTCATCAGGCCACAACTGGGAGGGCTCGCTCTAGGTGTGCACGGCGGCCCTTCGGCACACGTAGGTGCTGCGAGATGCTGACCACGGTGACGTCAGCTCCCGCCTCCTGCCTCGAGCGGCCACCTCCGTGGGGTGTAAGAACGGGTCCCGGCCGTGGGCAGCCTGCAGGGGGGCCATACAGCGGCGTTGAGGGCGGTCGCCGCGGCCCCACTGCGGCTCCTGCGACCCCCGCCAGCTCAGCTCCTCTAAGTTTCACGCAGAGGTGACACCGGGTCGTGTTTGTCCTTCTCCGGCTGGCGCCTGGCAGAGAGCCTCAGAGGCCCGGCCCGTTGCCTCAAGGGTCTCGGGGAAACCTGCTTGATAAGAAGGCACCCGGCTCGAATTCGGACCCAGGAACGAGTTTTCTGGTCGGGGGAGCGATGGTCTCAAGCTCGCTCTAATTGGAGGAGGAGGAAACCACATTCCGTAAACGAGCCCTTGTAGTGAAAGTTGAGAAAATGAGCTGTCACTCCGTGGTCTTCCTTAATTAACACTGGTGGTGTAGACAAGGACCAGCAAGAGTTTTTAGGACCCGGTTCCGCAGACTCAGCCGCCGAGGCACCAGAACTACGAGCACTCCCGCGACGCTCGCCCCAGTTACTTTTTAACGTACAAAGCGCCGTGTCTCTGTTTAGGACTTCCGCTGCTGCAGACGGTGTCCTCCGTTCTGGAAACGAAGTATCACCACCAGGTTTAAGATTCGCCACTAAAGGGATCCCTGGGTGGCGCAGCGGTTTGGCGCCTGCCTTTGGCCCAGGGCGCGATCCTGGAGACCCGGGATTGAATCGCACATCGGGCTCCCAGGGCATGGAGCCTGCTTCTCCCTCTGCCTGTGTCTCTGCCTCTCTCTCTCTCTCTCTCTCTCTGTGACTATCATAAAAAAATAAAAATTAAAAAAAATAAAATAAAATGGTTCTTCTCCAAAAAATAATTATTAAAAAAAAAAAAAGATTCGCCACTAAATTCCGCCATCACGTCATCAAAAGGAAAATAAGAGCTGTATTTGAATTCTTGGTACTGAGGGAAATAACACTGGAATCCACGTTCTGCAGAAAGGGGCTAAGGGACCATGGGAAGATGAAAATGTATGATTTTAAAGTTTTCTTCTATTCCCTGCATACAACTCAACACCCAAAACACAAATAAACCAATTAAAAAATGGGCAGAGGGCAGCCCCGGTGGCTCAGCGGTTTGGCACCACCTTCGGCCCAGGGCGTGATCCTGGAGATCCGGGATCGAGTCCCGCGTCGGGCTCCCTGCGTGGAGCCTGCGTCTCCCTTTCTCTCTCTCTGTGTCTCTCATGAATAAATAAATAAAATCCTTAAAATAAATAAATAAAAATAAAAAATGGGCAGAAGACATGAACAGACGTTTCCCCAAAGAAGACCTACGCACGGCCCACAGGCGCATGGGAGATGCTCCACATCACTCGGCATCAGGGACGTGCGACTCCAAACCACAATGCGACACCACCTCTCACCTGTCAGATGAGCTAGAGTCAAAAACTCAAGAAACAACAGTGTGGGCGAGGATGTGGAGAAAAAGGAACCTTTGTTCGCTGTTGCTGGGAGCGCAAACTGTGGAAAATGGCACAGGGGTTCCTCAAGAAGTTAAGAATGGAATCGTCACAGGAGCCAGTAATTCTACTACTGGGTATTTACCCCAAGAATACAAAAATGCTGACTTGAAAAGATGTGTGTCCCCCCGTGTTCACCGCAGCCTGATTTACGGTGCCCAAATTATGGAAGTAACCCAAGTGTGCATCCTTAATCGGTGAATGGATGAAGAAGAGGCGGTGTGCGGATGCAACGGAAGAGTACGCAGCCATAAAAAGGAACAAAATCTTGCCACTTGGAACCACACGGGTGGAACTAGAGGGTATTACGCTAAGCAAAATAAGTCAGAGAAAGCAGATAACCTATGATGTCACTCATACGTGGAATTTGAGAAACAAAACAAAGGAATAAAGAAAAAGAGACAAACCAAAAAACAGACTCTCGACCATAGAGGACAGACTGAAGGTCGCCAGAGGGGAGGTGGGTGAAGGGGGTGAAGGAGGTGTCAGGATGAGCACGGAGTAACGTACGGAGGCGTTGAATCCCTATACCGTACACCTGGAATTAATGCAACACTGTATGTTAACCAAACTGGAACTAAAAAAAACAAAGATCTTTTAGAAAGTGTTTTTTTAAAAAGTCTATTGGGCGCCTGGGGGGCTCAGTGGTTGAGCATCTGCCTTCAGCCCAGGGCGTGACCCCCAGGTCCCAGGATCGAGTCCCACGTCGGGCTCCCTGCATGGAGCCTGCTTCTCCCTCGGCCTGTGTCTCTACCTCTCTCTGTGTGTGTCTCCCATGAATAAATAAAATCTTTTTTTTAAAATTTTTAAAGTCTTTTTTAAATTACTATTTAATAAAATTAATGTTTCGCATGTCTAAAATTTTTTTTCTACTATTCAACTCCATATTTAAGACATAGCTGCCAAAACCATGTACATTTATGTCATATGAGACGCTTCTCTTCATAGTTCAATTTAAAGTTTGAAAATGAAGGCAGAATGGGGCTCCTGGGGGGCTCGGTTGGATTCAGCTCAGGTCATGATCTCAGGGTCCTGAGACAGAGCCCCGGGCTGGCCTCCAGGCTCAGCACGGAGTCTGCTTGAGATTCGCCCGTTCTCCCTCTCCCTCCCTCTCTCTCTCTCTTTCTCTAAAATAAATAAATACGATCTTTAAAATATATATATTTATTATTTTTTAAAATATATTTTTATATATATTTTATTTATATATTATATAAATTATATATATATTTTTAAGGCAGATTCTTTTCTTGTACCAGGCTTGTGTCATTCAAATGTTTCTCCCCTCATTCCTCTAGGCATTTTTTACCCCTTTTTCCTGTGCCCGTGTAGAAATATACAAGCGTTTACACACATGCGGAGATCTTTTCCACAAATAATGGACTGCACTATAAATTTAACTATTCGATTTGCTGTTTTCACATAACAATTCACCATGAACATCCCTCAATTCAACAGACTTCCCTTTAAATCATTCCTCCTAAAGGTCATACAACAGGCTTTGCATGGATCTACTACACTAGTTAGCCATCTGGCTACTGGTAGACCTTCCATTTGTTCTCAGCTCTTTGCTTCCAAAAACAATGTTATACGTAAATTCTACATAAATCTCTACACACTGGTACCCTCATTCCCCTAGGATGGAGTCACATACAGAAATCACTGAGTCAAAAGGAATGTATGTGTCCGACCAGAGGGGTATTTGGCCATCAATAATGGAAACCGGCGGGATCCCTGGGGGGCTCAGCGGTTTGGCACCACCTTCGGCCCAAGGCGTGATCCTGGAGACCCGGATCGAGTCCCACGTCGGGCTCCCTGCATGGAGCCTGCTTCTCCCTCTGCCTGTGTCTCTGCCTCTCTCTGTGTCTCTCATGAATAAATAAATTAAATCTTAAAAAATGGGGGGGGGGGCAGCCCGGGTGGCTCCGCGGTTTAGCGACACCTTCGGCCCAGGGTGCAATCCTGGGGTCCGGGGATGGAGTCCTGCATGGGGCTCCCTGCAGGGAGCCTCCTTCTCCCTCTGCCTGTGTCTCTGCCTCTCTCTGTGTCTCTCATGAATAAATAAATTAAATCTTAAAATTAAAAAAAAAAAAAAGCAGGCAGTGTCCCCGGCCACAGGCAGGGTCGGGCCGCGTCAAGGGCCATTCGAAGCAAGCTTAGTAATCGATGGGGAGAAGGACTGTGACCTCAAAAATCTGTCAATATATTAAAAACTCCTACTACCCATTATAAGTGTGAAATAAAATGGGAAACTGTAAGGGGGTGTTTAGTGCACTGTGCTCGGAACATCAGAAACACGGGGACTTGGGTCACCTCCTGGAACCGGCTGGGCCTCCTGCGCCCGAGGTCTGGCCTGGGCGTCCTCCCGCCACCGCCGGCCGTCAGAGCCTTCCAAGCCGGGACCCGCTTCTGCCACTTTGTCACCTGTGCTGTCGAGGTCGTAAAGTCGTTCTGCAACTTCCTTTACCGTGAATTCTTTTTACCACGGCTTCCTCTGGCTGTGGCCGCCCTCCGTCACCACCAGGTGTCTGCTCGGCTCACCTTGCCGCCGAGCATGCTCCAGCTGCACGTGTCCCTGGCCAGCTGCGTGTGATCACCGGCAGCGCCGGCTCCTTGTTCGCCTGCCACGTCTAGCTCAAGTTTCACGTGTCGCAGTGTCACGCCTCGCACCTTCCGTCTCTGCCTGCTGGTTCCTTGTACGGTCGTCACAGGGTGACCAGGCGACAGCACGGCCACACAGTGAGTGGCCTGAGCAAGGGCTGTGCCATGGATGTGGCCGCCGACCGCCAAGCACCACCTAGACCCGGGCCGCACCCCACCGCCTGTGGATCCGGGTGCCCGCAGGTGTGCCCACGCAGGCCCGGGCCTCAGCCAGCCGCGTCACAGCCCACGGACAGCACCTCGGCGCCAGACTGGTGCACGCCGAGTGCCCGGAGAGGCGGTTTTCAAGGTTTTGTCGTTTGGCCGCCAACGTCAGAATGTACCTCAGCATGACGGCCTCAG